GTTGTTCTATACCTTTTCGAAAGTGGCGTATTAAAATCTCCCACTATATTTGTAGATTTATCTATTTCTTTCTTCAGTTCTAGTAAGGTTTGCTTCATATATCTTGGTGCTTTTTCATTGGGAGCATAGATATTTATTTTGGTTATGTCGTCTTGTTCAATTGTCCCTTAGATCATGACATAGTGTCCTTCTTTATCTATTATGCTGGTTTTTGTCTTAAAGTTTACTTTTTCAGAGATTGGAATTGTTACTCCTGCTTGCTTATTATTGCAGTTAGCTTGGTATATTTTTTCCATCCTTTAACTTTTAGTCTGTTTTTGTCTTTGTGTGTATGGTGTGTCTTGCAGGCAGCATATTGAAGGGTCTTCTTTTCTTATCCATTCTGCCACTCTCTGACTCTTTACTGGTGATTCAATCCATTGGCATTCAATGTAATTATCAATAGGTATGAATTAATTGCTGCTATTATATTAATTTTTTGGTAGTACTTTCGTTCCTTTGTTCTACATGCCTTCTTGTGCTGAGTTTGTGTGCTTTGTGTTGTTTCTTGTCGGTTTGTTCTTAGTTTTTGTTTGCTTGTTCTGCTTGGAAGATCATTTTCATGGTAAGTTGTAAATTATTAAGTGTCTTTGGGGTTACCTTATATAGTCTATTAACTTTTCTCTCCACTTAAGAGAATCTATCGTATCCTGTAATCTACCTGAATCCCATCCCCTGGATCCTGTTTCTACATTTATCTCTTCTTTGACATTGATATTATTTTGACCTTCGGTTGACCTACCAGCTCCTTTGAATTTGTTGTTGTAGTTTTATTCTGTTATGAACCCTGCTATCAGTCGACTGAGTTCCAGGTGGTGTTGCCATGCCTGGTTGTTGTCTATTCTTGTTGCCATGCAGTCTCTGGTTGTTGTCTATTCTTGTTGGTTTTCAGTCCAAATAACTCCATTTAGGGTGTTTTGAAGTGCTGGATTGGTTTTGACAAAATCTCTTAGATTCTATTTATCCTGGAATGTTTTGATTGCACCGTCATATTTGATTGATAGTTCTGCTGGATAGATGATCTTTGGTTGGCAGTTTTTTGGTTTTTTTCTTTTAGGGTTTTGTATATGTCTCCCCATTGCCTTCCTGCGTGCATGGTTTCTGCTGAGAAGTCAGAGCCTAATTTTATTTACTTGCCTTTGTACATGACACTTCTTTTTTTCCCTGGCCACTTTTAGGATTCTCTTCTTGCTTTGATTTTGGAGAGCTTGATTATTATATGTCTTGGTGATTTTCTTTTGGGGTCTATCCATCCTGGGGTATATATGGCTTCTTGAATGTTTCTCTTCTCATCTTTCAAGATGTTAGGGAAATTTTCTTAAAGAAGCTCTTCAACTATCTCCTCTGTGGACTTCTCTGACTCTTCCTGTTCCCGAATGCCAATAATTATTAAGCTGTTCCTCTTCATATTATCCAGAATGAATCGTACTCTCTTCAGATTTTTTAAATCTTTTTTTCTGCTTGCTCCTGTATCTTAGCAGTATTGAGAGATTTGTCTTCCAGCTCGTAATTCTAGCTTCCATCTTTTCCATTCTGCTCTTTTCCCCTTTCAGTGTATTGTCCATTTCTGATATTTTATTATTAATCATCTGGATATTTTTGCAGGTTTTGAATTTTTTTCCAATGCTGTATCAATTTTGTTTGACTGCTCCTGTAGTACTTTCCTGACTTCTTCCTTGTTTTCCTCCACCCCTTTTCGAAGCATTTGAATTTGTTCCACATCATTCTTTTGAATTCCTTCTCAGGCAAATCCAAAACTGCTCTTCCTCTTCTGGTGAGCCTTTGTCTGTCTGCAGCTCATTTGTCTCAGTTACTCTTTTCTGTTTTTGGACATGTCTTGAGATCTTTTGTTGTGTTCGTTTGTCACTTCCAGTAGTTGTGTGGGTTTTTAAATACTTAAATGGATATTTGTTGTTGTGTTATTAAGCTTACTGGGTGTCTCCTGGTAGATATGATAAGGAGATAGGCTTTTCTTTTTGCATGTAATGCTTAGCAGATGTTATTGGCTCTTGTCTCAATGGTGGAATATTATGGGGCATGCTTGTAGGTTGGCTATATGGCCATGATTGCTGTCTCTTCTTGGGTAACGTAGGGAGAAAAAGCTCCCACCTCCAGGAAAAATCCTGTGATCCAAAGGACCAAAAGCAGAAGCAATATAAAAGTAGAGATAAAAACCACCACTTAGAAACAAAAATAAAACTGTGACCGTCTGTCCAGTCACCTTGCTACACAGGCAGTGTGTGTGTACTGTAGAAGCCTCCAGCAGTAGGTGGGGGTGCCCGCTTGCTCAGACCCTTTCTCTATTCACCACCATAGAGGTGTGCAGGTATATATTGAGAAGTTAATGAGAGAAAGATTGTCTACTATTTTTGTCTCTGAAGGACAGTACGTACCTGCATGTGTACAGCATAATTTTTGAGATAGTTGCGTCCTTTTATGTTGGGGTTTTACAGATTGTTCATATGGTTTGTTTGTCAGGCCAGATGGGCCTGCTTTTTTCTTGCTAGATAGGTCAGAGTAAAGGATCCTGCACATGTTAATTTTAGGAATGAGACCCTGAGGCTGATGTAATAAGTAGCCACCAAGCTACTGTGGTGTCAGCACTGGACTTTTTTTTTTTTTCTGGTGGGTTGTGCACCACCCACATGAAGGCATCCGAGCCGGGTAAAGAAAGTGTGACAGGGAAGAGGAGGAAAAAAAGTGTAGAATCCCCCACACCTCCTTTTGCAAATGTCACTACTTTCAGCGCTGGTGCCCTGTGCAGGTCTGGCTGTAGCCCCGCCCTCTGAACTTCGCCAGGGCGGGGTGGCCACATAGACTGAACTCCCAGATCCTCTGTTCTTATAATTTTATTTTCCTTTATATCGTGATTTTCCACTTGCATGTGTGGGAAACTGATGCCTGGGGTCTTATGCTAGATCCAGAGCTTTGGTGTTGTTCCGTGAGCACAGCTTCTCTGGGTTTTCAGAAGCATTCCTATCTGACTGTCTCTGCTGCTGCCATAACCGAAACCAGGAATAACTGACATTTAAAATAACATTTAATCTTTTAATTTATGAATATTGGTTTATATCTTTGTTTAGTTAGGACTTCAATTTCTAACCTTGTTGTGGGTATCAATATATAAACATTAGACATAGTTTTGTGAGATTTCAATTTAAGTATTTATAATTTTTTGGTGGCATTGTAAATGTTAGTTTGAAGTTTCAATCAGAAATTGAACTCAACTTCAATTTCCAGTTGATCACTGCCAGTCTACCGAAATGCAATTAATTTTGTAAACTGATTGCTTTGTAAACAGCTAGAAACAAAAGGAAAGAAACTAAAGAAAATATTCAACAAATGCTTTGGGCCTCAAAAAAGAAAAATCATATTTAGATAGCCTTCCCTAGTAAGACTAAGAACAGTTACAGTATCTTTCAAACAAAATATTCTCATATTGTTTTTATATTTTAAACTCTCAAATGACAAATGTGGTTTAGAGAATTTCTATGTGCTATTAAATGCAGGTAACTTAGTGAATATTATTACTCTATTTTACTAACTTCTAAGATACATTATTCAATATTTCCATAAGAACAGAGAAGTCATTTATACCTTCCCAAGAACCGTCAGCTGCTGAACTAAAAGATGAGCACTTTCGGTCTTCCCGGCACCACTTTCTCCAGAAATAACGATGCACTGCACAGTGGAAAAAGGGAGCTATGAGAAAACTTTATTCTCCCAAAATTCAGTCAACACTTGAGAAATTAAAAGGGAAATTCCAGAGAGCATGAGATTCTCCCTTACCTGATCTGAATTATATGTAATCATAGACTGGTATCCTAAGTCAGCCATTGCAAAAATATGAGGAGGATTGGCAGTTCTCTTGGCTCCAATATATATTTTGGAATGCTAAAAGTTAAAAATAAATTTAAAATATGAAGTTTTGCAGGATTTCTTTCTTTTTTCTCTTTTTTAAAAAGGATATACATCCTGGATGCTTTATAGACATAGTTCTAATTTTTAAAGGAAAATAGCAATCAAAATACAGTTTCACACTACCAATATATTATTTCAAGCTTGCTATATAATACAAAAAAAAAAAAAAAAAAAAAAAGCACAAATCATGCCCAATTATGTAAAATAAAAGCCTGACATTGTTAAAATCCTATAAATATGATATGATATGGCAATACAACAGACAGTGGTACATAAAAGATTCTGTAAACCAATTCTAAAGTTAAGCATAAGATTTCAAAATATTATTATTTCATTAAATAAAATAATACTTGTAAATAAGCCAATCAGATATCACTTTTTTAACTACTCCTTAAATAAAATAATTTATCATTTAAGAGAGACTTCAAAACATTTGTGGGAAAATTCCATTATCTTTAAATTCCATTTTTCCATGAACGTTTTGAAACCCCTTGTTATGCCTACCACTATTTTCTTTTACATCATTTAACATACATGCCCTCCTTCAATTTCTTCAAGACCATGTGGTTAATATAAAGAACTTGCACAATAGCTTAGCTCTTCTGAAAGCTAAATTTAGGTTCATAAATTTATCATTATTCCTGTAATTTTTAGGGTGGCAGAAAATAACGTAATTACAAATTCATATATAAGAATAAAGAGACACAGATAAATTAAATAACAATTTTAAAGAGCACACAAATTTCTAGAAGAGAATCAGTCCTATTAAAAAGGAAAAACAACCGCCTACAATTCCAGAACACTACACTATATTTAAATCATTTGTTGCCAAATAATGGATACTTTCAAGTTCATAAAGTACACATTTTCTTTT